GGGGAAAGGGTCATAAATCCGTTGTTGTTTATGAAAATTTACAACTTTGCAATACAACTTTATGAGTTGTTCGGCCCTTCCATTGGCCGCTGTCGGTCATGTGGATGGGAACCGTGAACATGAACTTTTTTATAATTTCCCTTGCGAGAATAGAGCCGCATTCTTTTGCTCCGCTCCGTCCTGCCTGCTTCGGAGCTCTGCCTTCCAGCCGGGCTTGGCTGCGCTTTGTCCGGCGATGGCGAGCGAGACGAGGCCCTGGCCCGGCCCGACCCGGCCGCTCCCGCTGGAGGTGGGGCGCGTCCGGTTCCCCGCGCCGCGGCGGCCGCTTTGCAACTCGCAACCTGGCTAATTTCCTGCGTCCTCTGGCACCAGGAAGGAGGACGATTCGTCTCCCCGGCTGCCCAAGCGACAGCTGTCAGAGGGGCAGGAGCTTCTGGGAGCCGCCATCTGAAGGTGAGACATGTGGGGAGACAGGAGCAAAGGTGGTGAGAGGGCACCCAGGACGGCTCTGAAGAGGGGCATACTCACCGTCGCCCACACTCACCGTTCACACTTGCCCCCCCATCACGCGCGCCTGCACACGCGCGCACACGCGCGCACACACACGCACACACACTCCCTTTCTCTCTCCTCTCCCTGGCTCACCATGGCAGTAAATGCCAGCCTTCCTTCCGTGGCACAGCGTCCTGGCATGGGGCAGGAGCATGTGGTCTTCTCTCTCCTCTTCCCCAGCGACCTTGCCGAGCCCCAAAAGAAGTGGCCCGGCACTCCGCGTTCCCAACCAGCCTCTCCGGTTTGGATTTTTTTTTTTTTTTTTTCCATTCATGACCCAATTGGCTCGACTGAATTCCCCAACAACTGGGGACAGTTCCCGACCTGGGGAAGTGGGAAGAGGTGAGGGCAGAGTGAATTAATTGACATGCGTTTTATTAGTATCAACACAGCACCTTCTGTTCTGAGGGAATCGGTTTCTGGAGAGAAAGGTAGAATGAGGAAAAAACACACAAAAACTTACTAATTCAGCCAGGTTCCTCTGCTGATTGCCTCCTTCCCTTCACGCGGTTTTCCGATGACAGAGGTGTCTGAAACGCGGGGAGAGGGACTAGGTGAGTGGGTGGTACTCTGCGTTGGAGGAGAGGATGGGGTTAATTGGCTGGGTGTTGCTTGGCGGGAAGTTTCGGTGCAGAGAATGTAGTGGTGTTATTGAGTGTGGCAGGGGCCGCAGCTAAGGTGGAAGGAAGGACGCAAACCGAGTCTGGGCGATAGGGGGACCCCCCACCCACCTCGGCGCAGCCGGCTGGCGACCGCACGCCCCACTTTCCGCGAGCGGGGAGAGGACTGTGGAGCCGCCGGGGAGGAGGCACGGAGGGTGCCGGGGGCGTCGGCTTTATGTGGCGCGGTGGCACAGACTGGGTGCGCCTCGGCCAGATTTGCCCCAGTAGCTTCCTGGGACTGCGACCAGAAACGATCCTGAGGTTCTGGGCTCGAGTTCTTTTTGTTTGTTTTGTGGCTTTGGTTGTTGTTTTCCCACCTTAAGAATAATACCTTGGTATGCATTCGAAAATTAAGAAGGGGCTGTGGATGTTTGGGACGGCCACGCGCGCTGTGGGTGCGCGCAGGGCGGATAAAGCGGCGCATTTGCGTCGCAGGGCCGCGGGCTGCCTGACTGCGGCTGCCGCGGGCAGATTATTTATTGCGACCGCGCCGGGCGCTCGCTGCTGCCACGCTGTGGCCGTCGCCGGGACCGACGCCAGCCGCAGCCCCGCGTCGTGCAGCCTGGCGCGACTGCTGCGCGGGCCCCTCAGAGATTCCCAAGCAGGCCGAGGAGAGCCGGGCAAGGGAGGACCCGAGGGGCGGCCTCCCAGGGCCTGTCGGGAACCTCCCCCGCCTTGGCCACCCCTGACAAGAGCTGGACGCCCGACTAGACTCGGGTCCTTCCCCCACCCCCAGCGCCATGGAGACTGGTTGCACAGGCGGCCTGGCACGTCATGGCTGCTTCTGTCCAAACTGCGCGTCCCAAGGCGCCCCCGGGGCGCACGCTGGTGCGGGGAAGGCGCCCGCTTCGGGATTTCGAAATCGGAGAGACCACTCCTGGTCCCGAGGCCCGCAGGCCTGGCTGGCCTTGAGGATGATTGACTATGGCAAGAAAGGCGGGCTTTGGCGCCAGGCGAGGGCCTGTGACAGGCAGAGGCCGCACCTGTATGCTATGGGCTCTGGCCTGGGCTACAGATCGAGGCGGCCCGGGTGGCCCTCAAGGTCCCCCTCCCCCCCCCCCACGGCAAGCCGCCCTCCAGGCTGGCGGAGGTCGAGTGGGCAGCCCAGGTAAAGGGCCGACTGTGGGGCCCTGCACGCCATCCAGTCCCCTTTGAAGAGCGGCTGAAAGGTAAGTGGACTTTCTCTGTGGCTTTGACCTAGAAGAGAGAGTCCTGGTAGCCATTCTCACTATCCCAGGAGAGGCTCCCTCCAGCGTCTGGGGCTCCTATTCTTGCCTGAGTGTGTGTGTGTGTGTCTCTCTCGCTCTGTTTCTCTCTCTCTCTCCATATATATATAGGCACCTAATGCTGGTTGGAGAAATAAATTGGGCCATTGCCAACATAAGATGTACCAGACTTGGCTAACACGTAGAGATTTCAATTTATGTTTTTCTATCTCAGTGCCTGTAGAAGCTAGAAATACAATGTTTTTTTTGGCTCTTAGCTGAGAAATCAAATTCTGTCATTGTCTGGGGGTAATTATTAGATCAAGAATCCAAGTCAAAACATAACAAATAATAACAATAGTAGTATATAGAGTAGACAGCCATCAGTCCCAATACTGTGTGAGACCTGGAGGTATGACACAGAAATTATAAATGTAAACATTTATCAACATCTCCCAACAGTTATTTTTGTCTTACACAATTCTAATTTGTTTGAAATCACTGTCTACTGATCTTGTTTAAGAAACAATAACTCAAACATGATTTTCTTTGGACATAGCTTTTAAAAAATAGTTCCCTTTAGAATTTTTAACTTGAGTTTTCATTTTCAGCTATTGTGTCCATTCTCTGAGGAAATTCGAGGGAAATGTTACATTCTATCCTCTCCTGCCAGGCCCTTCCTTATATATGCAAAGGAGAAACTTTCTCAGCTTGGATTGGTTGGGGCACAGGCAGAAAGCTTCTGGGTGCAGCCCCCATTGCGTGGGGAGAAGCCACTTCCGAGCGAGCTCGCTAGGTTCCGTGGAGGCCACCCGTAGCCCAGTCCTTTCCCAGTTTCCCCCCTTTGAGGGAAGTGAGGGCAAGGGGGAGAAAATCAAAAAGCAAGGAAGAGGTTAAGGAAGTCGTTGGCAGATTCCTAGGAGGGCATAGCCAGCCCCCCCCCCGCCCCAAGTCCTGAACCCCATGAGCCTGCATTCACCAGAGTTTTACAGATCTTACAAACATCCTCTGGAAATTCAACCAAATTGTATAAATAGTCTTTCTTCAGCCTCCGCAGAACTGAGGATTTTAAAGCTAATTCAAGGGTTTTACAAGCCCAACAAATACAGTTGTAAAAATGCCATTGGAAAGATATCACATTTTACAAAATGAGATTGATCCATGTGCTGTAAAAGTCAGCCATCTCGAAGGCACACCTATCAAGCAAGGGAAAGCAACCCAGGACATGCCTTTCACGTCCTGTCTGGGCAAGGCCAGGCCTGGGACCAAGGTAAAAAGCAATACAGACGGTTCCTGGAGCCGGTGAAGCAGCTATTCCCAGTTTTACAGCAACTGCAGGTGGCAGGCCCCCAAAGTCCCAGGAAAGGCATGGAAGAGGGGTACACCCCAGGAAAGTGCCGGCTGTGGGGTGCCCCGCAAACCAAGCACACCAATGATCTCACAGCCTTGGGACATCCCAGCTGCCCTCTCTCCCTGGCTTGGCAGGGACCTTGGGTCGCTGGGCCTCCGGAATGAGGACAGAGATTCCACATCTGGATCTGTCTCAGCTCTGAGCAGTCCGGGTGTCGGTAGGGCGAGTCCCAAGTGCTGGGTGAGGGGAGCAGGTCCCACGGCCGGCTTCGGAGCTCCGTCTCAAGGCCATTCCTCTGTAGGTCCGTTTCTTGTTGAAGCCAGTGGTTTCTGGCCTCTCAGTTCCTGGGTTCAAAGGTGGGACGGGGACGCACAGCTTGTGGGGTGCTTTGAGGCCACGCAGTCGCCGGCCATTGGAGGGGGGAGCCCGTAGGGACTCAAAGGAGACGTGTTGTCTGTGGGATGATGGGGCCCGCGGGGGAGGACGTTTGGCCGCATCCTGGTCAGCTCGAGGTGAGCCCTCCGCGGCAGCGAGGCCCAGGCCCTGGCTGGAGGTGGGGAAGGAGAGCAGGAAGGGAGGCACCGATTTCTAAGGTGCAGGAGTGAGGAGCAGGGCGCGAAGGCCTGGGTTCTCAGACCCCCTTCTCCAGCTCTGGAACCCGCACCCACCGGTAGGGGAGTGCAGAGGGTGGGGCAAACTCAGGGCCCTGCCGGGAGGGCAGGCCGATGGGGAGCAAAGCCTTCGTTGTCACCGCCCCTCCGGGCGCGGGGCTGTCAGTTTTCCTGTTTGGAAAGAAACCCCAGCAAAATCCGACCAGGCAGAAAGGGGAGGAGGAAGGAGCGGGCCTGGCGGGCCCTTTGCGGCGGCCGGACTCTAGTGCCCCTACCCCGGCCTGATTCGCACGCCCCTACCCGGGCCGTGCCCGCCGCTGGCGTTCGGGAAGAGAGCCGGGCCGGCTGGCTGTGCGCGCCCATTAATCTGCCGGGCGGCGGGCGGGCGGGCGGGCGGGCTGGGGGCTGTTTGTAACTTTGCTGCCTCGGTCGCCGCGGTCCCCGGGGAGCGGGCTCCGGCGCTCGCTCCCATTGGCCGCCGCCGCGTCAGCTGGTGCGATTTGCGGCTGTCGCTTTTGGCGTTCGGCCATCCAGAAACAAACCAGTTCGATGACTACTAATAGTTATAGCCAGATGTACTAATACACAACAAATCACAGTCCTGCAGAGGGGCGCGCAAATGAGTTCCTATTTTGTGAATCCCACTTTCCCCGGGAGCCTGCCCAGCGGCCAGGACTCCTTCTTGGGCCAGCTGCCCCTCTACCCGGCCGGCTATGACGCGCTGAGGCCCTTCCCGGCCTCGTACGGGGCGTCGAGCCTCCCGGACAAGACGTACACCTCACCTTGTTTCTACCAACAGTCCAACTCGGTCCTGGCCTGCAACCGGGCGTCCTACGAGTACGGGGCCTCGTGTTTCTATTCTGATAAGGACCTCAGTGGCGCCTCGCCCTCGGGCAGTGGCAAGCAGAGGGGCCCCGGGGACTACCTGCACTTTTCTCCCGAGCAGCAGTACAAACCCGACAGCAGCAGCGTGCCGGGCAAAGCCCTCCATGACGAAGGCACCGACCGGAAGTACACGAGCCCTGTTTACCCCTGGATGCAGCGGATGAACTCCTGCGCGGGTAAGGCATTTCCCTGCAGCCCCCCCCCCCCCAAGCGAGGAGAGGGAGAGGGGGAAAGGGGCAGGGAAAGGAGGAAGGAAGGAGGAGACAGAGAAAGTACAAAGAGGAAATAGAAAGCAAGGAGGAGAGAATGAACAAAGTTTCTTTGGCTTTTTTAAGAGATTAAAAAACAAAAAAACAAAAACCAACCATTCCCAGTGAGGCAATCAAGCTGTGGCAGAGTGAAGGCACTAGTATCCATGTAAGGTGACACCTTAGGGGATCGAGAGGGGTCACTGCCACTCTATGTGAGACTCTGTGACAGGAGCAACCTGAACAGACAGCTAGGCTGGATGGGAGGGAGTGCCTGCCCACACTTCCCTCTGGTAACACCCTGCTCAGATCCCCAAGCAGAGATGGCCTTCTGCAACCATCACTGGTAACTCCCCTTCACTCCCCAACTTCTCTCCTTTCTGTCTTTCAGAAACCTATATAGATAGAGGCTCTCATTTGGCCTCTCCTAGTGTCTCCCTAAAGCCTTGGAGGGCCACATCCTCAGCCTCAAGATTTTTTCTTTCTCCTCCCTTCCCTCCTCCCCCTTCCACTCAACTGCTCACTCTTAGCCAACTTCTGCCTCCTTTTGAGGCCCTGCCTGGGTCTCACACACCCAGCTTGGGGGGACCCCCCCCCCACCCATGGGCTCCTTTTGTACTAGAACAGATAGCCCATCACAGTCCTACATTTCCAGAAACCCCAGATGGCCCATAGCTCCATCCCTTTGCCTCTGGTTTCCAAAAATTTGACAGAGAATCCTTGGAGCAGGGCAGAACCTAATGCAGATTTTTAAACCGATAGTGTTTTGCTTTAAGATCCACTTGTTTTTTCAAGGGAGCTCTGCTTTTCTCAGGAGGACCATACAATTTGGGGGGGGGCAGTTTGCAAAGATTTGAGAGGGCTGACCATTTTTCATCTTCAAAAGAAAACCATGTTGAGTCCTGTCATGTCTGGCCACAGTAACACCCTCACAGAGATCCGTGTGTGAATTCCAAGTGTCCACCTTACTCACAGGGTTCCACACCCATCACTTCCAGACGCACACCCTACACTCCCACAAAAACACGACTCAGGTACCCCGAATTAAGAATGCTCATTCTATTCTTTTGCTTGTAATGGTTTTCTTACAGAGCAGATTTTTCAAAAACAGTAATTTCTCACTCCAAGTTGTTTTAAGTGGAAAACATCTCGCTTGGTATGAAATAATCTCCTATCCTGCTGGCTTTTGGCCTTAGACATAGCGAAAGAGGCTGGAGTGGAGGCGGGTGGTTTCCAGTTTAGATGCCAGGGAATCCGGGCGCGGGTCTGACTGGTTTGGCTGCCGGGATCCCGGCTCACCGGCGCCCGGCCATTTCTACCCGCAGGTGCTGTGTATGGGAGTCACGGGCGCCGAGGCCGCCAGACCTACACGCGCTACCAGACGCTGGAGCTGGAGAAGGAGTTCCACTTCAACCGGTACCTGACGCGGCGCCGCCGCATCGAGATCGCCAACGCGCTCTGCCTCACCGAGCGCCAGATCAAGATCTGGTTCCAGAACCGCCGCATGAAGTGGAAAAAGGAAAATAAACTCATCAATTCCACACAGCCCAGCGGGGAGGAGGCTGAGGCAAAGGCGGGCGAGTAGACGCCTGGGCAGGGACCAGGCCAGCGCTGCAACCTCCCTCGGCTTTGCCCCCTTGCCTTCGCCTGCTCCCCAACTTTTCTCCCCCGCCTGCTCCCATCCGGGGGGCCTCTGCAGCTTCAGGGGAGCCGGGAGCTTTGCAAACGCCTGAGCATTTATTTCTTACCAAAAAAATATATATATATATATACATCCTACACACAGCCAATCCCAGCGGTGGAGCGGGGCGCACTGCACATACAGTCCTGTTCTCCAAGGCTGCCCTAGCCGGCTCCGGATCCCAGGGCGCGCCCCGAATTCGTCCCCGGCTCTTGTGCTAGCGCCTTTGCATGCCCCTGAGCTCGGGACGCGGGGGTGCTGGAGAGGAAAGAACTTGGGCCGAGCCCCTTTTGGTGTCTGGGCGTTTTCGCCTCCTTCCCTCGCCACCAAGTCCCGAACGTCACCACCAAATCGACTCAGGCCACTGGAAAGAGGGGACCTAAAGGCTGGGGCCCCAGCACTGCGGTGGCATCCCAGGCCGCTCCTAGACAGGAAGAAGCGTGAGGAACAAAGGGGGCCCTGAGACAGCCTAGTCTCTCGGCCCCGCGCGCAACCGTCCGTGGAAGAGAAGCAGCCTCAGCCGAGCCGACCCAACCTGGGCGCGGGTGGAACTTCACAGCCCCCAGAGAGACTGGGCTCCCGAAGACTCCAGCTCCGGATCCCGGATCCCGGATCCCCGCCTCGGATAATGCCTGCACTGCTACCAGAGTAGCTTTCAAGACCTAAGGAGGGGGCTCAGGGCCATGGGAACGGCAAGAGTCCTGGTTTCCAAATGTGCCAGGGGTGCCTGCAACGCTCAGCCTCCAGCGGAAAGTACCCCTCACGCCTTTCGGCTATATTTGTGATTGACTTTCGTCTTTCAGGACCCAGGAAAATAACTACAGAAGATACTAGGCACTGCCACGAAATGCTTCCATTAGCACCCTCATTTTGCTCCTGGAGGTCTAAGCAAGACCCTAATAATTCGGCCCAAGGATTCCCAGCCTCCAAGCAGCTTCTGTGGCTGCGGGGAGTCTGGGCCCACTCGCTGGGTTCACGGAGAACCCTCCGACTTGGGGCTCGGCTGCCTTGAGGAAAGGGACCGGGTGGTGAAGATTCTCCAGATTGGATACTTAAAGCAAATCAAATAGCGAACTAATGACACGAAAACCATATTTACACGCAAGAAAAATCGACTCCGGTTATAAAAGTGTATGGAATTTGACCTCGCCTCGGAGAAACACTACACAAAAGCTATCTTTAATAGACGCCTGTCATTTAAGAGCGGCAGGGACACTGTCCCTCATGCACTCACAGAAAAACAGAGCCGTAATTGTAGCGGCTGCTGCGGGCAGGATTTATTTCTCCAATTGGCTAAACGGCCTCCCCCCTTCCCCGAAGGTGATATCTGTATTTTCAAATTTCAGAGCTGCCGGCACGACGGGCAGAACCGACCCCAACCTCGACACAAAAATAAGAGGGGCTGCACAGCGGGGAAATAAAGTTATTGTAAATAAAATCCAAGTCACCATCTCCCCCCAATCCTCTGCATCCTCGCCGGGCGCGCGATCGGCAGCTGACGGCCTCACAATTGGTACATCCTAATGGAACTGAGAGGGAAATGCAATAATTTTGCCATAATGGGCTGTAACCTCAATTCGACCCCGGCCCTTGCAGCCCTGGGTCGGAAGCGGAGCGATGCGCCCTGCCTCCAGCGGGTGGCGCTCGAGTCCGACTGAACGGCGGCGGCGGGTGGCGGGCACGCGCCTAGGGCGCGCGCGCCACCCCTCTCGCCTCCACCCAACTCCCCCATTAGTGCACGAGTTTACCTCTAGAGGTCATCAGGCAGGATTTACGACTGGACAACAAAAGCACGTGATTCGAAGTCGTACCCCATATTTGGGTGCCTACGTAGGAGGGAACCAAGTACATGTCCCAGTCATTTCCATAATTCATCATAAATTGTGCAAGGGTGCTATAGACGCACAAACGACCGCGAGCCACAAATCAAGCACACATATCAAAAAACAAATGAGCTCTTATTTTGTAAACTCATTTTGCGGTCGCTATCCAAATGGCCCGGACTACCAGTTGCATAATTATGGAGATCATAGTTCCGTGAGCGAGCAATTCAGGGACTCGGCGAGCATGCACTCCGGCAGGTACGGCTACGGCTACAATGGCATGGATCTCAGCGTCGGCCGCTCAGGCTCCGGCCACTTTGGCTCCGGGGAGCGCGCCCGCAGCTACGCGGCCGGCGCCAGCGCGGCGCCTGCTGAGCCCAGGTACAGCCAGCCGGCCACGTCCACGCACTCGCCTCCGCCCGACCCGCTGCCCTGCTCCGCCGTGGCCCCCTCGCCCGGCAGCGACAGCCACCACGGCGGGAAAAACTCCCTGGGCAACTCCAGCGGCGCCTCGGCCAACGCCGGCAGCACCCACATCAGCAGCAGAGAGGGGGTTGGCACGGCGTCCGGAGCCGAGGAGGACGCCCCCGCCAGCAGCGAGCAGGCGAGCGCGCAGAGCGAGCCGAGCCCGGCGCCGCCCGCCCAACCCCAGATCTACCCCTGGATGCGCAAGCTGCACATAAGTCATGGTAAAGCCAGCCTTTCTCTAAATCCACGCGGCTGCGGGGGGCGCGGCTCTCGGTCCCCCTTCTCTTCTTTACCGCCCTCTCTCCCCATCTCTGTCCTGGTCTCGCCTCTCCCAGCCCTGTGGAGTCTCTCCCCGCCGTTCTCCTTCCCCTGCCTTCCTCCTTTCACCTTCTGGTCTCTGCAGTGCCCAACGCTCGCAAATGGGAGGAGGGGGGAGGAGAAAGGCCGCTGGCCAGGCAAGTTTAGATGTTGAAACCGGGGGAAAAGGAAAAATCCCATATCGAACCCCAGCGCCTCGGAACGCGCTCCCGGGTCAGGCCAGCCGAGCAGGGCGCAGAGAGGTAGAGGATGGCAGTAGGGGCCGTGAATCGGGCTTGTCAGGGCGGATAATTTATGAGGAGGGCTACGCTGGGGAAACAGCGTTACTAATTAGAGTCCCCGAAAAGGGGCTTGGGGGGGAATAATCGAGGCGAGAGCCGGCGGGATTCTGAAGTTTGGGAGCAGAAGGGACAGCAGGAAAGGGAAGAAAAAGAAAGCAGGCGCCCCAAGCGTGCAGGCTGGAACAGAAGGCGGCTCGCGGGGCTGGAACTTTAAGGGAGGGTGACCTGGAGGCCACTTGGGCGCTCAGGAAAGAGCCTTGCTTCCGTGGGTTTCTGAGAGGTGGGCTGCTTGGGAGGGCTGTGCCCCGCCTCAGGATGCCAGGGGCAGGGCCAGAGGGCAGGAGAGGGGTGAAGGAAAGCCGGGCGATCCTCCGGGACGCGGCTCCAGCCTCAGATAGGCCGATTGTTCCCAGAGTCCAAATTGTATTGTTTTCTCTCTAGAAAGGAAGAGGGAAGGAAATTCTGGAGGGGTGGGCGGGCGAGGAGAGAGGACTTGTTGAGCTTTTCTCCCCTGTTCCCTGCTCAGGACCCTAGCTCGACTTGGGTAACCAGGGACTGAGGAGTTGGTGGCTAAATCGCCGACTTTTCTGTTGCAGACAACATAGGCGGCCCGGAAGGCAAAAGGGCCCGGACGGCCTACACGCGCTACCAGACCCTGGAGCTGGAGAAGGAGTTCCACTTCAACCGCTACCTGACCCGCCGAAGAAGGATTGAAATAGCACATGCTCTTTGCCTCTCCGAGAGACAAATTAAAATCTGGTTCCAAAACCGGAGAATGAAGTGGAAAAAAGATAATAAGCTGAAAAGCATGAGCATGGCGGCGGCGGGAGGGGCCTTCCGCCCCTGAGTATTTGAGCGTTTAAAGTACTGAGCAGTATTAGCGGATCCCGCCTAGTGTCAGTACTAAGGTGACTTTCTGAAACTCCCTTGTGTTCCTTCTGTGAAGAAGCCCTGTTCTCATTGCCCTAATTCATCTTTTAATCATGAGCCTGTTTATTGCCATTATAGCGCCTGTATAAGTAGATCTGCTTTCTGTTCATCTCTTTGTCCTGAATGGCTTTGTCTTGAAAAAAAAAAATAGATGTTTTAACTTATTTATATGAAGCAAGCTGTGTTACTTGAAGTAACTATAACAAAAAAGAGAAAAAAAACCACACAAAAAGTCCCCCTTCAACCTCGTTTAGTGCCAATGTTGTGTGTTGCACTCCAGTTGTTTAACTGTGCATGTGAGTGGAAGTGTTCCTGTCTCAATAGCTCCAAGCTGTTAAAGATATTTTTATTCAAACTACCTATATTCCTTGTGTAATTAATGCTGTTGTAGAGGTGACTTGATGAGACACAACTTAACTTGTTTGACGTGTAGTGACTAGTGGCTCTGTGACGAAAACTGTGACTCCGAGCGGTGTGTCCCTGCGTGCCTTTGTAGGACCCTTTGCACGAACTCTGGAAGTGGCTCTCATAAGCGCAGCTTCAGTGATGTATGTTTTTGTGAACAAAGTTACAAATATTGTCCGAGTCTGGCTGTTTAAGCAAACTGTGATCAGCTTTTTTTTTTTTTTTTTTTGTATTTGTTTTTAAGGAAAAAATACTGACTGGAAACAAAAAAATAAACTTTCTATTGTAAGTTCTCTTGGTCTGGTTTGTGCCAAAATAGCAAGCGGCTCTTTCTGCTCTTCTGTCTAGTGCTGGAAGGCAGTGAGTCTGAGGCTACCTGAGCAGCCTGCCTGTGCAAGGAGACCTCAGACCAACAACACCCTGACCCGCGACCTCCCTAACTCTGACCCATCAGAGTTCAGGGCAGAAGGTGGAAAAGCTGTAGGTGGTTCCAAAGCCTGAGTCCAACCTGCCTATCTCTGAGGAAACCAAGATAACTTGCTGGGCACAAAAAAAAGAGGAAGAGAGAGAAAGGAGCAAAAGCACAGGGCTTTGTTAGCAGCCCTCAGGGCCCACACAGATGCTGCCTCTTTCCTAAGGTCATCCTAGGCCTCCACTTGCTGAAGAGGCTGCTGCACCAGGTTGTGGCTCCCAAACCCTCTGCCCCTAACCCACCCAGGCATCCCTTCCCATTCCTCACCCTGAGCCCAGTTGGCTTCTTTTGCTACAATTAATTTGCTACAAATGGAAGGTACTTACCCCATCCTAGCTCGATTGGGAAACTCCTCAGAGCAGCTAAAGCGCAACTAGAGATTTGCACATTTACCGACTGCTTACACTGATGCCGTCTTTCCTTTTAAAAGTTATAAAACAGTAAACTTTATAAGCCCCAGTTCCGGCTATATGACATTTGGGTGCCAAATGAATAGGGTTTTGTCTATGAATTAGATCGTAAAATCATCCATAGCACAGACAGATCGGCTCACTGGCTATAAAACGTCACGTGGGGCCATTAAAGTAAGTTTTATGGTTTTGGGGAGTTGACATCCAACATTATATACCACATAACATATAATCTCACTGACGCTGGACTCCATTTGACTCTTTTGCAGGCTATGTGTGCCTCCTGGTCATTCAAATGGTCAATTTTAGGTCCAGAAGTGTCCAAACCACAAGTTCTCAAAACTCTCTGAAAAATGGCTCCCTCCGAGTTAAGGTAAGCTCGCCTCCTGAGCGCTTTCAAGTTTATTTGTACTCTGAAAACTTTCTTCCTCGATCTCTCTCTCTCTCTCTCTCTCTCTCTGGTTCAATAACTCTGAGGTTGCCTCTGAATTCAAAAGGGCAGAGCCAACTTTTCCTCTGCCCACATTAGCAGCGCCAGGAGCCAGCTCTGCGGAGGCACCCCGGTGAAAAGCGCCTGTGGCCGCCGCGTCCCCAGGCCTAACTTTAATTGCTGCACAACCGCGAATGTTAATGACTTCCGCTGCTCTCGCCGGCGTGCAAAAGATGATTTTTGTGTGCGACTGGGCCTGTGTGCGGAGACTTGGCAAGGCCGCTCCCCATTCCGGGGCTGGCGGGGCTGGCTCGTCGAGGGGTAGCGGAGCCCTAGGGTGGGGGCTGGGAGACTGTGGGGCGCCGGCCGCGGGCGCGGAGGGCCGCGCTGCGCGGAGCAGCGCTTGGAGTTTGAAAGAAAGGCCCAGGCAGGGCCGAGGCGGACTCTGGCGGGATTCCTTACGGGGCTGTGGCAATATGTCTTCGCGGGCCGGGGTCATTTGGCAGCACTGAATTGAGACGGCTGCCTTCGGGGCCGAGTTTCAGGCCGGCTCGTGAGAGAGCCGGAGGGGGCCGAAGCCGGCGAGGCGCGGGCCGCACCTCCAGGCTGGGCCCCTGGGTGGCCAGGCCGAGCCCAGGACTGTGGGGACTGCGGGTCCGCACCTGGGGGGAGGGCTCACCATCCCCTCCCCCCGCACCGGGGACCAGGCCCTGAACCTTGTTTGCCTGCACGTTCTTTTTATTTCGGTGGGACTGTTCTCACCCGCCTGTGAGTCTGAAGCAATAAACTTTATGGCCGGATTTAACTTTAGTCTTTGAATCCCCAGGCTAAATGAAAGGAGTTAAAGCGCTTTCTTTTCTTCCGCCTTCCCTTTCTTCTCCCTCTCTTCTTTCCTTTTCCTCTCCTCCTTTGTAGAATTAAGACTTGCTGGCACAGGACGCTCAAAAGGCAACTTAGGGATCCCCTTAGGTAACACTAAAGATTAGAGAAATTTATTCCCCCTCAACATACAGGCAAATTCTGCCTTCCAAACTGTGCCCCAAAGTTTGGGGGGAAGTCGAGGTGTCTTCAATGCCCAACTTAAAAGTCCCCAGAGCCATTAGGTTGTTTTTCCTGACACGTCATAAAGGACAGTTTAGGGAAGAAATTGGTCGTTTGTCAGTAGGAGATTTCCGCCTTTCTTTTGTTAGCTGCTCTTTCTGTTTGATCCCAGGAAATTTACATAATCTATGATTTCCAAAACAGTTCCCAATATTGCACCTACAGTGAAGTAAGGTGAAATAAATTTTTCCTGGGTACAATTCCAACTTGGCCTCAGCCACCACCCCCTCTGGCCCCAAACCTTCACATTCTTCAGTGGCAAAGTGACTGGGGATGCTGTGGCCTGTCCAGGGGTCTTTTTCTGGATGGGTACCCACAAGGGACCTAGCAGATTTCCCACCACTCCCTCTGAACAATTAGACCAAATTCTCTAGCTCAGAAATGAAATAATAAAAAAAAAAATAGGACCTTCTGTCTCCAAATGCTTTTCTCCTTAGGAGCTAGATAGTATTCTGCAAGGGCTAATTGGTAAAGATATTTACTGAGTGCTTAAAGTGAAAAAAAAAAATTAAGGTATAGTTTTGGAATTTCAACAAACTTTATTGTGCAGAGGCCACTTAAACTCAGCATAGGTCCAACAGTTGTCCCCAAAGTCAGAGGTCCAAAAAACAAACCTGGGAAGTTTTTTGAAAAATCAAAACCCTCCCACAAGTCCCACTTCTCTGAAATAGTGGCAAGGCAAATCCCTGAAGTCATCCTGCGTGACCTATTAAAGTACTGATATTTCAGCGCTCAGGAAGGTGTGTCTGCATCTTAGTGGGAACCAGAATATAAACTCTGTTTGGGTTCTCTTTTGTCATTTTGTGTGTCTGTGAGAATTCTGGAGTCTTTGTTTTGCTACTCTGACTTTTGAATTCTTTACTGGAAAATATTGGGTTAAGGTTTTATTTTAGTTACTCATTTGGTGATCTTGCTTGAGTGATTTCTTGGTGACTAAAATTAGTAGCAGGGAAAAAAAGAGCGATAGGGCTTCTGGCAGGTTCACTTGAATAACTTGCCCGGAGGAACCGTCCACACCACCTCCGTGGCCACATCCCACCCTGGGTGTGGGAATGGGCAGAAGGGTTGTTGGGCCGATATCCAGCATTACCCAATGTAGAGAATCTTTTCCATGAACTAAAAAAAAAAAAAAAAAAAATACTGGCTATATATATTATCAGCTTGCTTATTTCTGTCTGTTGTAATCTTCATAAAAGTTCAGAGTTCCTAAGAGAGCAGGTTAACTCACAAGGAGTTAAATGACTTTTTAAAAATACAGCATCCAGTCAGACCTATGTGAGTGTTACTGGAGACATTTTTTTTCTTCCTATTTTCATAGTAAGCATAGTAAAGAGGATGGCTGGTTATCTGCTCATTTTGTAGATAAGTTATTTCTTCTTGTGCATTCTTTGGTGGTGTTTTTGCAGAGGAACTTACTTAGAAAAAAATCTCTGTCATTAAGGGCTTTATGAAGACATCCAGCCTCAGCCGGTGGCAGGAGTGTCTGTCTGTGCTCCTCATGTTGTAAAAGGAGAAGGTGTCCAGTATGTGCAGGGCCTCGTTTGTTTCTACAAGCTGAAGAGACAATATTTCCTGAACTATAAATATAATAGGAAGCTTCTGGTCACAATTACTTAGGGGTTTGTTAGGGTTTCCATGGTCTAATTTCACAACATTATGCCGAGATTCCTCTTCTCCTGCTCTTTCCCCTGCTTCATTGTTGGCGGCTCTGGGAGAGCAGGACAGAATTCTCTACCAGAAATAGAGTCATGTTCGTTTGTTGAGATGTGAAGAGTATTATATCCAAGCAATTAGTGAGGGGAGAGCAAATTACATCCTGAAAGATGGGCTATTAAAGAGGAAAACAATCCTTTTAGCTTAAAAGATGCCCTTCGAAGCCTCTCCCCTGCCTTAGCTCGGGAGTCTGTCTGAGGTTTGCCCACCATGGAGAGTGCAGAATGTTGTGGGCTCCATCCCTTTGGCTTCTAAGGCAGAATTTCTTTCTAGTCAATGACAAAACTATAAACGGGGCTTCCAGACAAGGCTGAGGGGGTCAGCCGAGGTTCCCACCCACATAGGAGAGGGGAAGCACAGTCCTGGCCATTGTAAACCCCAGAACTGGAAGGTCTGCCTAGGTCTGTTTTGTTTTGTGGTTTTCACAAAGAAAGCTGTCCTTCTTCCACCAGGTCCCCTCCCCACAAACCGGTCTTTTCAATAATAATATTTGTTATGAAGGTTATTGGGTAATTATTGCGATTTTGTGAAGCAGCCCTTGCTGGAGGTGAAGTCTGTCATCGCCTAACAAATGACGCCCGTGCAGTTCACTGCCGGGTTAAGTAAATGCAGAGAAGATAAATCTGCACACCCTAGGAATCGCCAGCAGAGCACGCTTTAGTACAAGTTCACAGTCAACTCGCCTGCCTGGGCCAGCTCTCCCAACAATTAGGGCTGCATCTTTATTTTTAAATAAAGAAAAAAAAATGTCTCCAACTCCCACTGCCTGCTTTCTCCCTGTCTTCTTTTTTCTTTCACTTTTTTTTTGAGATTCTACCCTCCTATTCCAGATTTTCCCTGTGAATGTGATGATGAGTGATTTTAAAAATAATCTCCCTCCTATTTCAGTGCTGACAAAAAGAGGTAGGAGGCTGGTTTGACAGGAAATACCGTCACAAACGCCCAAGAATATCCAATGCACCCTCTTAATCCAAAAGGCAGTGGCAGAAGCAGGGTGTCCCTGAGATCCTGGGGGGCCCCTTCCCCCTGAAAGAAGAGGCAGAGCTTTGTGTATCTTTGTGGCTAGTGCGTTGCAACTGCGGGTCAAAAAGTTGAGGGTCAAAAGTTTATGTTGTGCAGCACTCTTAGTCATCTGCCCAGACAGAGTTTGATGTCAATGTTAGAGCT